CCCCAAAACCCCAAAACCCCAAAACCCCAAAACCCCAGCTTTATATTTTTGTTCAATTTATTATAATAAACGTCTGAAAATGGGTTGTGCAAGGTCAAAGGAAGAACCATATTGTATCAGAAGGAGAGTTAACCAGGTCATCTCTGAAGAAAAAATCAATGATAATTGAACTAGGCTTAAGTTTTTCACATTGCCAACAAGCACAAAGATAGGAAGCTCCACTTCGAACACGACTAAGATCAACTCAGATTTGTCTAAGCTAAAGGAGTTGGCCATTTCTAATTCAAAGGTAGAAACTCTTATTTTGGAGATACACCTTTTTTGACGAATCAAAAATTGCTTTTAATGTTATTGAAGGCTCCATTCATTATTCAGGATAAATAGATAGTGAGATTCCTATTTGATTAGTGGGGTTCTTTAGAAGCTGATATATTAATGGTCATCTAACTCATATATAGGGATTACCCAAAGGAAGAAATATTTCTAATAGTATGAGTCAAGGGTAATATAAGCATTAAAGCAATTGTTACTTTTTATCAAACGTAGTCTACTCATAATATACACCTTACTAATAAACTTATCTAGGCAAAATCTGAACACAATTGAAGACAGCCAGCTTTCAGAGTAAGCATATTTTCGAAAATTTAAACTAAACTTCGATATAGAATGAACAACTTTTTAATATCCCATCCTCCCGACAATTCCATATTAGACAACTGCTATCTAATCAAAGAAAATCCTGATGCTCAGATTCACAAAGTCGAAATCTTCGGTACCAACTACGTCGAAGCTATCCAACTCGAGCACATTATCAAAAACGTAAATTCCATCTAACCCCTAGTCACTCAACGAAACCAGAACAATTACCTCCTTCGCCTGTGGCTCTCGCTTCGACATGAAGAATATGACCAAACCTGCCTGTGAGATTACTCTAGGGGCCACTGAAGTTATTGACTCTATTACTCTGTGCTGTAATGTTGGTACAAGAAGAATCAGAGGAATCGTATTAGGCACTAATTCTGAAAGATGAGCTATAATGGAAGGAGAGATTGAAGCAGAGAAGTTTGTTGACTTGCCAGAATCTGCTAGGGTGGAGTCTGATGTGGAGGTAATGTCAGAAGAGCAGTTGTCGAGTTGTAGGGATGTTAATTTTGGACATCTTTCTTCGAGGGAGATTAGTTTTACAGAGTCGAATGCTCCGAAGGTGGAGTCTAGGAGAGGGGATAAGCCGTATAATGATGATTATTTGAGGCTGTCGAGTAGAGAGAATAATTTCAGATACCAAATCATGAATTTATATGAAATGAACCGCCATTTGATAGGGCTCAAATGAAAATTTGAAGATTATTTAGGTAAGCTTAATTACTTTGAAACTAAGTTTGGCTTTACAATTTTAACATGCAGTTTAAGTTCACAGAAGCCCAGTTTTTACTTATTTTAGATGATAAAACATCAAAATTTGCTAATTCTGAATTTCTAATCTCTGTATAGTGGACTTTGAAATATACCAGACGGACATTTACATTGATGAAATGAATTAAGAATGTTTTTCAATACCTGCTCACCTTTTGGGGTTTTGGGGTTTTGGGGTTTTGGGG